CTCTCTCTCTCTCTCTCTCTCTCTCTCTCTCTCTCTCTTATCAGTCTCAGCAGACATAATGTAAGATTTATTACCCGAAGTCAGATGTAGAAATCGGATGAGCACATTAGTATTTGATTCCGATAGTGATAAATTGTTTTCGAAAGGATTTTAATTCACCTAATTCTTACGGGGAGGGAGCGTTACGGCAATCTATAATCCGATTCTTCGGCGTTACGTCAGACCGAACATTGTTTCAGTTATGGATGTCGATTTCTTACGATAAAGAGAAATCCGACTGCACTGTTGAAGCCGTTTTCGAGCCGACTCAAACAAATAATAACGACTTACCCGCACGATCTTTACAGAATGGACATACACCGACGTCCGTCACGCATCGTAACGTTAGAACCAGCCAAGTATCTCAGGGATAACGTTACTCGGTAGCACAGTGCATCTACTGTGCGTCCTGTAATTGCCATTAAAAAGACACCAAAGTACAAATCGATCAAAATCTCTTTACGCAAAAATAAATAATAACGCAAAAATTACTAATCTTTTTTTTTCAAAACCGAAAAAGTTGAGTCTCCGATAGAAAAAGTATTGGAATCGTCAAATTTTATTTTCAACATTTAAGCTTAATTAAATATAAAATATTAAATTTGTACACTAGTATTTACAATACTTGTGTAAAATTTTGTATAACAAAATGATAATTACACGTGTCAGTAAAGTGTCACGAATGAAATATGTCAAGTGTATGAAATATTCGCGACCGATGAGAATACGACGGAGTCGCTCGTCATTATCGTACAACGAAAGTACGACGACCGTTTTTTCCTGCCCCCCAAAAGTGTCCGGTACCGCGTGGAAATTTACGTAACGACGTGCCGTGCGGCCCGCGGTCTTCTTGTTACAATGATATTTACTGTGAAAAGCGAATGAAGACGCTGCTGCATGCAACAAATTGGATATGGCCGGCCTGAAGAAGTTAACAACTCGCACACGAGCCAACTCGAGCGTGTACGGAGTATACGCTTCGTTTCGCTGAAATAATAACGAAGATCCCCAGACCTGGCCCGTGTCGTCACGGTGTAAGCAGGAATTTCTTGCTCTCCTTTCCTTTACATTTTCACCCAAAATTACAAAAAACTCCGCGCAGATACGACGGTAGCGCGGATGAAACTCGGAGCGCACGGAATTAAGAGAGATGCAATTCAGAAAATTGAATCTTGCAAGAAGCCACGCGTTCGTCGCGTTCATCGACTTTTCTCGATCCGATGCTACATTTTTAATTACCAAATATTATTCTGGAAAATTATCCAAGTTCGCATCTCTGGGCCGATTACCGCGGCATTAAATGACACAGGCGACGTTGACACCCACGGTGTCTCTTCAAGGGCTACGAGTATTGCTCAGCTCGCGCAAGAAATGTCCTACACGTAGAACTAATCGGTTTTATATGCCGGTTTGGCCTGTTAACGATTGACAAAGCAACGATCCGGCAATGCCGATCGCGCCAGCGCATGAAAATGCATAGGCAACAGCGATAAAAACTTCGTTAAGGCCACGCGGCAATTCAAAGAGCGTAAAATGTGGTACGTTACACTATGCAACGTGACGATTTTCATCGTTGATTTTCATCACTGTTATGACCAGAAAAGTGTCTTTCCGCGTCTTAGATGTAAAAGAAATTTGATAACAAATAATTATGTAATTTTTCTTCCTCTTGCGTTCCTATTCGTTCAAAACTAACTTATTTAACATAAAACTTGTCACTTGTATTTTTTAGAAACAATAATTTAGGTAAACTTAAATGTGTGTGTTTACTTATAATTATGAATAATATATAATATATATTATATTACACAATAATATATTGTAATATAAAATTTTTCTGACTTACTTATTATAAATCCAAGTGTTATTTTTCTTATCCTTTTTCTTATATAATAA